GCCCTGCCCGGCCCGGGGCCCGACCGCGGCCGCACCTGCGGGCCCGGGCCTCACCGAGTTTAAGGCGAAGAGCAAAGAGCCAGAAACCCCGGGGCGGCTGCAACTGCGGCGGCGTCTCCTCTGCGACCGGAACTAACGCGGAGGAGGAAGGAAGCGGGACGACGAGCCGCCTCCGCCCCGATCACGCAGCTCTCGCGAGACTTCTTTTCCGCCTCCGCATCCCGGCCCCGGCGGCTCGGCTCTCGCGACAGCTTTGCCCTGCGCTAGCGCTGCGCTCGCCGCAGAGTTCTCGCGGGATTTCGCCGCAGAGTTCTCGCGGGGTTTCGCCGCAGCGCGGCTCTGGCTGCCGCGCTCTCTCCCCGCGTCTGCTCCGCCGTGGCCGACGCTCGCTCCGGCCGCCCGGCCTTTCGCCCTGCCCCTCCCGCCCTGGAGGCCGCGGCGGGCGAAGGGCAGGGGGAGCGCGGCTCGAGCCCAGGCCGCCTGCCCCGCCGAGGGCTTCGTGTGCTCCCCGCACACCGCGTCCCGGCCCGTGGTGACAGCGCCCGTCCGCGGGGTCCTGGCGCCTCGAAGTGCGTCGGATACGGAGACGCGTCCCTCTGGGTTACTCTCGCACCATGCTGGACACCCACAGTTTACAGGAGAAAAGCGTTATTTTGGCTCACAGCTTTTATTTGGAGACAAGATCTCATTGCAGGGCCAGGGAGGTAGCTCAGTTGCGCAGCGCCAGCCTGGCAAGTGCAAGGTCCTGAGTTTGATTCCCAGTACAAAAAAGAAAAGAAAAAAGATCTCATAGTTCAGGCTGACCTTGAACTCACTGTGTAGCCCAGGCTGGCCTTGACCTCGAGGTGATCCTCCTGCCTCAGCTTCCCAAGTGGAGTGCTGGGATTACAGGTGTCTGCCGCCATGCCTCCTGTTGGCTCACAGCGAGTGGACGTTTCAGTCCACAGCCGGCTCCACGGCACACAGGAACCTGGCAGAGGGGAGGCAGGCGGCAAGCAGGGCTCAAGGGAGGAGGAGGGAGAGGACCCTTCCAGGCCACGCCCCAGTGTCACGTTCTCCCACGTTCTCCCACGGCCTTCACCTCCCGGCCTCACACCCAGCTGTAAACCCATCAGTGGACGAATCCCCCATGAGTATCACAGCCCCATGATCCAAGCACCTCCCCAGAGCCCCTCTGTGAGCCATGAGGCTTAGGGGGGACCTCTAGACACAAACCGTGACATTACGCCCCTGCCCCCAAAAGACGGTGCACGTCACTTTATGCAAAGGCATTTAGTCCATCTTCAAGCGTTGCCAAAGTCCTAACAGTTTCTGCGTTGCTGAATTGAGTCCAAGTCCCAGGTCTCCTCAGATTTAAACAAATTCTTAGTTCTGAGACTGTCTTTCTCCTCCAGTCTAGCAAAGGTTCATCAACTTGATTGGTGTTTTCAAAACAATATTTGGTTTTATTATTTTTCTCTTTTCTTTTTGAGACGGTCTCGCTATTTGGTCAAAGTGCCTTAAATTTACTTTGTAGCCCAGTCTGGCCTTGAACTCAAAGTGATCTTCCTGCCTCAGCTTCCCAAGGACTGGGATTACAGGTGTGCACCACCACACCCAGCTCCATTTTTTATTTCATTGATTTTTACTGTGATCGTGGTTATCTCATTCTAGATAAGAATGCTACAGACTTCGTTATTACCTTAAATTTAACCATTCTTCATGAATAAACACTTCCCCATTTGCTGTTTTATTTCTCAAGTCTTGAAATTGTGGTTTTAGATAGTTTTGCCCAATTTTTGTAGTTGTTTTTACTGACCTCTCTTGCCATTGTTGCAAGTTCTCAATAGTATTTTGGGTTAAAAAGTTTGAGCCACTCAAATGGAAGGTGCTAGGCGCAACGTGTGACCTTGATACTGTTTCTAACTTTGCTGGTGGAAACGGGTATATTGCACAAGTGGCTTTTTTCCCCAGAGCACATAACCAAAGGACCTCATCTGGACAGGGAGGAGGTGACCACGGGCCTGTTTCATAAGCACATGGTTTCCTTTGGAAAATGATCTGGGAAGAGGGTATTCCTATGCTTTAGGTCTTGTAGGAGACAGGAAGATTATAGAACACTGTATGAGTGTAGTTTAATCTGTCTCATGCTCCAGCGTGGGGGGCCTTGCACATGTACGTGTGCTGCCGAAACAAGCACAAAGCCCTTGCACACCTTAGGTGAGTGTCTACCATTGAGCCGACGCAGCCCTGTACCCTGTATCGTATACATGCTACACACGTGGAAATTTATGTGTGGCTATAAATATTTCCATCAGTTCCATATTTGCATAATGAAAAAGTTTTGAGATACCATGAGTTTTCAAATAATTTTAATTACTTTAATAGTTATTCCACAAATACTAATAATCTTTGAGTTTTTATTTATTTATTTATTTATTTTTTGAGACGGGGTCTCACTATGCAGCCCCGGCTGGCCGACTGTACTGTACAGTTACTGCAGTTTTATGTTTATGTTACATTACAGTACAGCACGGAAGAGTTATGTAAATAGAAGCAACGCCATCAAGTTAGCTTTATTTTACCATGTCTTGTCCTGAATGCCATATCGCGATGCACACGCTACATGCAACTCCCCATGTGGAGAGCAGTTCATTTAGTGACGGAGTCTCGGGAGCAGAACTCCGTCATTAGAAGGAGGGTGTCTGTTCCCCTTTCAAACAAACACAGCCTTTGGTTCAGACCTCTGAGTAGGCTGAAGCATGCAGGGAGCTTAGGGGTTCGGGAACTGTGCTCCTGCCCCGCCTGGCACCGCCTCACTGCTGGGAGGTGGGTGGGCAGCTCGTCCCTCTCCCTCCAGGGCTCCCGGTCCTGGCCCCAAAGCAACAGGCCAACCAGCCAGGGCCGGAACCCCCGGAGCTCAGCCGAGACACCCTCTCCTGACCGACCTGCTGCGTGTGTCGGTGCTTGCGACAGTGACGGAGCGCACGGTGCTGCGGCTCTCCAGTGCGGTTTCTCGCAGCAGCTTTGTGAGTGGGGCCGCGTTCCCGTCAACACAGGACTGACGACCCTTGTGCTTTCACAGGGAGGTCAGGGCTGCCACAGGCAACCAACCAGTGCCCATCTGTCTGAGGAGCGCAAGCAGAACGTTGTTTCCTTATGCATTTTAGGTCCCCCCCCCTTTTTTTTTTGTACTGGGAATCGAACTCATGACCTCAGGCTTGCCAGGCAAGCACTTATGCCGCTGAGCTACATCCCCAGCCTGTAGGTCCCCTTCTTGAAAGGCAGTATTAAAACTTTCTTAGAGGACTTCCCAGGCCTTTCTGGGACAAGATCACATTTCTCTGGAACTAGTTTCTCGTCTCAGAACCGGGCAAGGCTTGGCAGAGCTGGCTGGCCGCGTGCTGGGGCAGCTCCGGGATTGATGCTGAGTCCACGCACCGTTTTTTGAGACAGGGTCTTGACTTCAAAGGATGCCGCGTCACCCAGGTCGAGTGCCCGAGAGTGGTGGGCGAGCGCTCTTCGTTGCTCGCCCTTTCCTGAGTGACAGGGGGCCGGTGAGCCTGGGCTCTGCCCTTCCCAGCAGGCGCCCTGTGCCGTCAGGGGTCTGAAGACCAGCACAGCGGTGCTAGGCACCGTCCAGGGAGGCAGAGGACACACAGACCCTGCACAGGGCCGGGAGGAAGGCTTCCCTAGGGCCCTCGGGAGGGGAGGGCGCTGGGAAGAATGAATGAGGCTGCTCAGATGGCGGGGAGGGCAGTTCCAAGAGCAGGGAGCGGCCGGCGGCTCTTGAGTCACAGGTACGGGCGTTCGCACACGTGCGCATGTGTCAGGGGTGATGCTGGGGTAGCTTGGAAAGGAGCTTGGTCTCCATCATGGTCTCTCTTCTCTGTGGTAATTTACTTTTTTGTTTTGTTTTGTTTTGTTTGAGGCAGGGTCTCTCTGTGTAGCCCATGCTGTCTTTGAACTTGCAGCAGTTCTCCTGTCTCAGCTTCCAAAGTGCTGGAGTTGCAGGTATGCGCCACTACACTTGGCTGGTAATTTACTTTTTTTTTTTGAGACAGGGTCTCACTATGCAGTTCAGGCTGGCTTTGAATTCACTGTGTTGCCCAGGCTGGCCTTGAGCTCACAGTGATCCTTCTGCCTCAGCCTCCCGAGTGCTGGGACCACAGGCATGTGCCACCATCTCTGGCCTTGGTAACTTACTTTAAGTTCTTGAGAACTCTACATGACATATTTAGCCGTAAGTTAACTTTTATCTATACCCTAGAAATAGTCAGTTTGCGTCCTCAGTGTAGGTAATTTGCACTTGAAGAATCCAAGTCGTGAATCCACACGTCAGATGACGTTTTGCTCCTTAGTTCCTCATTAACGTTATCAGCCAGGCGTGGTGGCGCCTGCCTGCCTGTTACACCAGCGTGCTGGGAAGCCAAGGCAGGAGGACTGCAAACCTGGCAACTTGATGAGAGCCTGAGGAAAGTGAAAACGTTAAAAAAGGGCTGGGTGTGCAGCTCAGCGTGAAGGCCCTGAGTTTCATTTCCGAGGGGGAGCAGGGGAGAGAGAGTGATTTTATGTTATTTACCTTGAGTTATTCAAAGTTAAAGTTTTTACAGGGCTCCTAGGAGGCGCGGGAGCTGGGAAACCCCTCTCCTGTCCCCAGCCGTCCCTGCTGGTGTGGGACGGGCCGGCCGCGGCCTCCGTGGGTCACTCCACGTCGCTGCTCACTGCCCCGGGCTGCGCTGGGGCCCTCCTCCACGCTGAGACTTCAGCCTTGCTGGGACGGGCGCCCGGCTGCTGCCCAGGGCTGGGAGAGGGAGTGAGGCCGCCGGACAGGAAAGCGCGCCCACTCTCCCAGCCCCTGACACTCGTCACCGTGTCCCTGCACTTGTTGGCTCAGCGAGGCCAGCTGTGACCATGACCAGCGTGCGTGTGGAGAAGCGTCTCTGAGTGGGAGGAGACCACCACCAACGGCCTCTGAGCAGGATTCAAGCTTTTAAGGCTGCAGCTGCAGGCGTCTCACTCCCGGGTGGAGCCCTTCCGGGAGATCACATAGTTCTCCTAAATCAACGTACTGTCTGTCTCGGTTACTTTTCTCTCCTTGCTGGGACAAAATACCCAACCCCCAAAATGAAGGAAGGAAAGGTGTGTTTAGCTTACAGTTTGTGGAGGTTTCAGTCCATGCTTGGCTGGCTCCGAGGCAGAAGGTAGCAAACCAACAAGAGCAAAGGGGGGAATGGCAGCCGAACAGCAAACAGCCAGAGCAAACCGGAGGAATGGTATGGCGGCAAGCAGCTTCTTTCTCTCCCTTACATTGTAAACTGGCTACCCCCACCTAAGGGGCATGTAGCTCTCACATAATCTCCACGCCCTCCTCTTCCACAGGCTCAGGATGTATACAAAGTAAGCACCCTGGCTTCCTGCTGAGTCACTTAGCCAAACCCTAGACTCCCCAGGTTGACACAGTGTATCAGCCATGACACTGTCTTACTTGGGGGAGCCCCTGAGAGAGTCCCACCTTTATTCAGTATCCCCCACCTTGGTTCTGACAACTAAGTAAGTATGGGCCCAGAGAAGATCTGCCCCTGCCCCAGGGAATCTCGAATTCTGTTAGAGGGCTCTGAACCTCCCGGAGCCCAGACACCAAGCCCCTGGACTCTTGTATTTACGCCTTCGCCACCCGCTCATCAGGGAGACTGTGGTCTGCAGTAACTAGGGATGATATTAACATGATGCGGAAGGCAGCTGCCCTCCGTGTGCCGTGACTTTGGTTGGGTTCAGACGGCAAACACCACGAGCTGGATGTTTGCAAACGACAGTTCACTGCTTCCGGCTTGGGATGCCGGAAAGTCCAGCTGCGGTGCCAGTGCAGCAGTTCTGGTGAGGCTCCTTTACTGCTGATGCTAGTGGGACCCGCGGGCCCTTGGGGTCACCTGTAGGGGCTCCAGCCCATCCCCAGGACAGAGCCCCTTCCCAACCCTGGTTAGGTTTCAGTGTGTGAGTGTGAGGGCTGGGCACACTCAGACCTAGCTCTAGGGTCATTTTTTTTTTTTTTTTTTTTTTTTTTTTTTTTTTTTTTTTTTTTTTTTTTTTTTTTTTTTTTTTTTTTTTTTGTCTTTTTGAGACAGGGTCTTGCTATGCAGTTCAGGCTGGCCTTGAGCTTACTTTGTAGCCCAGGCTGGCCTCAAACTCGCAGGGATCCCCCTGCCTCAGCCTCCCGGGTGCTGTGATTATAGGTGTGTGCCACCACACCCGGCGTTTTTTTAGTATTTTTTAACTGGGTCTGTTTTTTTAAAAAAATCTAGTATACTTCATCTTTTAAAAATGCTATTGAGGCCACAGAACTGGTTTCTAACAGAACTGGCTCCAAGTGTATCTTTGAAGAAGTACTTTAGTAATGTCCATGCCATCCAGATTTTAGGGCACAACCCGTAGGAATGATTTATGTTTGGATGCCTCTGTTTTTACTGCTTGGCCATCCTTATGGATGGCAGAGAAAACAGAAGTAGCCACTGTTACCCTTGAGACACCAAATCTCTCTCCCTTCCTCTTTCTTTCTGTCTTTCTTTCTTTCTTTTCAGACAGGGTCTCGCTGTATAGTTCAGGCTGGCCTTGAACTCACTGTGTTGCCCAGACTGGACTTGAACTCAAGTTAATTCTCCTGCCTCTGCCTGGGATTACAGGTGTGCTGGGATTACAGGTGTGCGCCACCATGCCTGGCTACACCAGGTATCTTCAAAATACAAACTACATTTACTATCACATAAAATGATAAAACAAATTTCTCATGTTGTATTTGATTACACAGTCAAGGATTTATTTGCAAAAGAGCTTTTAAAATTGCATTACTTTCAGCTTGTTTCACCCCAGCCGTCCCACCGAGTCCCAGCTCTGCTGCCCTGGGTGGCCTCGTAACGTCCGTCCTGCCTGTGACCTCCTGCCCCGTCTCTTTTCTTCTCTGTCCTGCTCCCTCCTGTGGGCTCCTGGCCTAGTGGACCCTCTCAAGTCGGCAGATGGACTAGAGGCCAGCTGTCCCTGTCCCTCCAGGAGAAGGAGGCCGCAGCCCTAAGACTTGATACGATACCTGCTCTCGCATCACTCTCTGCCAGGAGGTGACGCTGAGCTGTGGATTCTGCCATTTTCCTCCAGACTCGGCCAAAATGGGCCAAACTGATCCCGACTCCTCCTCTGAGTCCCTAAAGCTCAACAGAATCTCATGGATCCTGCGTGCTTCCTTCTTTTGATGTTTGCATTTTTATTTCTGCGGGGCTAGGGATTGAACTCAGGGCTTAGCACATGCAATGCCAGCATGCCTCCCTGCCCCCTTAAACCGTGTGACCCTGATTCCTGATTCATTCGCTCTGGGTCACCAATTCAGTGTGCGGGAGATGGAGCCACCCAACACTTCCGAAACGCTGACACCGGATCAGATGTTTTTCGTCAGCAAAACCGAAAACGAACCAAGGGTTTTGTGATAATGCACTGAAAATGTTTGCACTCTTTTCCCCTTCCACATCCCAAAGGGAGGCGAGCCAGCGGAACGGTTGTTCTACCCACGGAAAAATCATTCCTGCGCCATCAGACGCAGGTGCACAGGCCTCAGCCAAGCCACAGGACCACGGGACAGAGCGCTGCGGAGGGCGTGGGCGCTGCGCTGGGGACCACGGGACAGAGCGCTGCGGAGGGCGTGGGCGCGGCGCTGGGGTTCTGGAGGGAGCGCAGCGCCAGGGAAATTCTCACGGCTTCTCTACCAGTGCTGCCCACCGCCAGTGCTTGTGATGTGGCCCGTCAGTTAGATCGCTGGACACGGAGAGGGAGAATTTGCTTTTGCAGCAGTGTTTCCACGATCTTTCCAGAAGAAAATCATTAAGCCCGCTTGTGTGGATGCTGCAGTCCTTTCTGGCCTCCGGGCCGAGGATTCTAAGCATTTGTAAACAATCATTCATCTTGTTAATGTAATTAGGCTTGAATCATGTTTCTAAATTTTGTACTTTTTTCCTCCACCATAGTATAAGAATATCTGCTTGGAGTTATGATTAAGAAGCCATCTTTTCACCTGGAAAAGAAACAAAGCAGAAAAGAGAACAGCTAAAAAAGCAAGTGCACCACGCCCGCCGTTTGTATGCTTCGAAGAAGGATTGGCTGGAAATCGGAGGGGTGAGTGGTGAGTGGGGAGTGGGCACATTCGGGCAGTGACTTAATTGCTCTTGGTCTCCGTCTTCATTTATAAAATGGGAAGCTGGGGGAGGTCAGAGGTTCTTTGAGACTTTTTAGCAGGGGATTAACATGTGATGGGGGCCTCACACGTACATAATTTCAGTGTGGTATAAATTTATCTTCATAAGGTCAATATTTAACCCTTGCTTATAAAGCAGATGATATATGAGTGATTATGCTACTTTGAAGCAGGAAAATTTGAAACTGCATGTAAGAGATGACAGTTATATGCTTGGAATGAAATTCACGTAGGAAATTTGCTGGGATGACAGTTTGAAAGAAACTGACACAAAGAAATGATTGTAAGTGGTAAGAGGTTTAGGTTTGTTTTTCATCTTAAAACTTAATCTTGCAATGTAAGGATGGTCTTTATTTTTAATGTTTGCACAAAAACTTGATTTCTCAGCTCATTTGTAGGAGTATCTAATTTATTAAAATTTGTTTCTTTTCCGCTTTTTGAGATAGGGGCTTGGTATGCAGTTCAGGCTGGCCTTGAACTTACAGCGATCTTCCTGACTCTGCCTCTTATTTGCTGGGGTTACAGGTGTGCACCCCCAAGTCCAGCTAACTTATTAGAATTTGGTATTTAGCAGGTATGTGTCCACCTGTAACTCCTTTTATTGCATTCCATGGCCAGCACAAGGCTGTGTATTTTACACGCCTTGTTTTACATGGTAGAGTACGTGTTGTCTCATCATTGACTTTAATACTGGGAAAGAGAAAGAAAGAGAATAAGAGGCCGGCAGTCTGCCCTACACGCCTCACGCTGCCTGTAAGTCTCCGTTTCACAGAGACGTGCAGTGCGTGCCTCCACGCCTGGCTCAGCCTTCGTATTGTGTTTTGACTCAAAGAGAAGAACTGCAACACCGGTGACAACACCCCGACCTCTGACTGTCATCGGCAAAGCCACGCACACTCGTGTTGGAGGATTTGTGACGCTGGGTGAGAGACTCCGGGAGCCCAGCCTGGCAACCACGAGCTGCCTCTTGTCTGCTTTGGGACGGGGTTGCTGCTGCTGTTTTCCCCTGAGAGATTATCTTTTGGCTTACAGAGCTTACCTTTCAGCAGGTCACAGGGTTATGCTATTGGGATGGACCAAGGCTTAGCTGTCCCGGGGTCCTCCCTCGGGATCTGGAAGGAAAAGCACAGGAGGCGCTCGCTTACACGGCAGAGCACTGCAGCATTTCGCTGGGACAGCGCGTCAGAGCTTTAGGTTTTGGAAAACTCGGGCGGGAGGAAGCAGGATCCCGCCGGCCCCTGGGGGCGCGGTGCCTTCTGGACAGTTCTGGGAGGATGGGGGTTGGCGTGACACCTGCTCTGTGTGATGTTGCTCAGGACCAGGCTCTCAGTCTACGCTTGCCCAGTCTAGTTGTCTGCTTTGCTTCCCAGGGACGAATCGTGGGAACTATACAGCCAAAGAGAACCATAGATCCTACGAATATGTCTGGGGGGTTGGAGGGGTCGTGCGCAGGGCCTGCCCCAGCCCACAGTGTGACGCTCACTGTCTGTGTGCCCTGGGGTGATGAGCGCTTGCTGGTTAAACCCGAGGTCAGAACCACCTGGCATCCAGCGATGCAAGTGGACACTGCTGACCTCCCAGCTACACAGTGAGTTTAAGGACACATGACCTCCCAGCCAGAAGCCACACGAACGCCCTGCCCAGGGCAGGGACGTCTGCCAGGCCAGTCTCCCTGCCCCTGTGTATTCTCGGCCAGTTAGTCAGGGCTCCTGGGCCACTGATGACAAGGCAAAGGTTTCTGTTTGTTTTCCTCTGTCTTGTCTCCAAAGCCTCTGGGGCAGCATCTTCCTAAGTTTTAAGGCTGTGAAATCCTTCAGGTCTCTGAGTCCTAAATCTTTTTAAAAATGAAATTACTGGCCTGGGGATTTAGCTCAGCGGCACAGTGCCTGCCTGGCAAGTGCAAGGTCGTGAGTTTGATTCCTGGTACCGGAAAAAAAAAAAAAAAAGAAATTACTGCTGTAAGAAGTCTTGATTTGAAAGTGTTATTTGTCTTTGTCTTTAGGGGAAATTCACTTGTTTCTTGTAGAATTTTAAATGACTGTGCAAAACACATTTTCTGAGGAATACGTTTTCCTCCCATCATCAAAAAAGACATGACACAGGAGTGAGATTCTGGCCACGTCTGGGAGCCGGGTTTCCCCGCTGAGCTCAGAGCAGACGCTGTGCCAGCAGCACCTCCCAGTTCACGCTGGAAGTAGGCAAGTGGTCCCCGGGCAGTCAGCCCCGCTCAGGCTGGCGCACGCTCCCAGCGCGTGGGATACATTTTGATGTGTAAATGCTGGTTCAAATGGATTTTTGTTTTTTAGTAACAAAAACGCCCCACGTTTCTTCCAACGCCCGCTTTCTGTTGAACCCAGTTTACCCGTGAAGACGAGGCTTCTGGCGATGGAAGTGTCACTTGCCAACTAGATTTCAGGTGGAAGCTTCTTCCTGGCTGCCGCCGGGCAGAGGCGGGGCTTGGGAGAGGCCTGCGGGAGGACTTCGCCCGGGTATTTGCAGAGTGACTCAGTGACACAGGACTTTCCCATGAGTTACTCTGTTTAGTTCCAAAGGAAAAGTACTGGGAGTTCACCCGGGTTTCTGTGCAGACATGGGTCCAGGAGGCGGTTATTCACTTTACGGCCGGAGGAGCTTGTTGACAGAGGGCGTGTTGCGCTTCCCAGGGCCCGTTCCCCACAGACTCCTGATCAGGACACATCGTGCTTTGGCCGCTGCAGAGGCCAGGTGCAAGGGCGTGGGTATCTAAATCTCTAAAGAAACCTTTGGGACAGAGCGCAGAGAATGTACCAGGGTTCACCACATATTTCTTTCTTCCTGTCTCACGGTGCTGGAATCCAGCCCAGGCCTCACGTGTGCCAGGCGAGCCCTGAGCACTGAGCTGACCCCCAGCCCCGATCACATACTTCAGTTTAAAACCACAGCGCAGCTGGGCTGGACGCACTCACGGTGTCGGTTTTGTATGGGCTCAGGTTCCCGCAGGTGCTCCGGAGAGATGGGTGTGCATGAGCCGGAAGCTGTGGGCTGGGAGGCGGAGGAGGTGCTGCTCGCTCGGTGGGGCTGTGGGGGCTCCCCGCGGTGTGCGCTCCGTCACATCCCTGTCATTCTCCAGGGACAGCGGTGTCCCTCAGCCGAGGGCCTTCCCATCAGAACGGCAGACCACGCTGAGGGCCGCCTGAGCCCCCGCTAGCGTGGCCCAGGAGGTGCCGGACCCCGTGCTCGCTCTCCCTCCTGGTGGAAGCGCAGCGTCGCCAGTGCCTTGTGGCGGCCCCGGTGTCGCGGGCCTCGCTCACGCGCTGCTCTGCCAGTGCCACCCCGCCACCTCCGGTCACACCACAGCCGGCTCTTCCACCCCCAGTCCTGTGAGCCTGTGCGTGTGAGCCTGCGGTGTGTGCGGATGTGTGTGCCTGTGTGTGCTGCCGGGATGCAGTCAGGGCTGGGCGTGCTTAGGGGTCTGCGCTGCCCCAGGCACTGGCGGGTGAACAGGCGACTCGGGCGGGAGGGGAACACACCCCAGCTCAGGGGCTGTTGGTGCTCGGACAGGGTGTGTGCGCGGGTGCTGAGCTGAGCTCTCAGGAAAGGAACGTCAGCCTCCGGGCTCCTGGGCCTGCGGGCCCGCACTCTGCCCCGCGCTCTGTCTGGTGCGTCCCAGCCCTTTCGGTTCTGTGCAGGCCGGGTCTTGCTTTGTTTTTCACTTGAGACCGGGACTCACTCAATGGCTGGGGCTGTCCTTGGCGTTCGACCCTCGGCCTCAGCCTCTGGAGACCGGGGGTCATAGTCCCGCTGTCCCACAGCTGCCAGCCTGTGAAGGTGAGAGCTCGTCCTGCTTTGGTTTACTGAGATGGTCAGCTAAGTCGTACACAGGGAGATGCTGTTCTGGAAGTTAAAACTGCCACGCGGGCAGGATGCATCTGTGTGGCTTTGATCATTCCAGCTCTGGTTAGCACGACGCAGATTGGGTCAGGCATTTACCCAGGGTCCAGAGGACGAGAAATGGAAAAATCTCTGTGTAGGTGTAGCAGAAAATGCCCCCCACCCCAGCCAGCAGGGTTCAGTGTCTTGGTTGGCCAGGCAATAGTTCCTGTTCCAGTTTCGGTTGCTCCTGACTCCGAAAAGGCTGGTCACTGTGAATCACATTGTATGGGCCATCCCCAGCTGACACGCCATTCTGCCTCTGCACTTCCTGCTTCCTTATCCCGTATAAGCCCTGGACCACCAGAGACCAGGGCCTGACATTCTGGGAGTGATCGCAGTCAGTGCCGTGGAGGTAGATAAACCTGCCTCCAGGTCCTGGGTGTCGTTTCGGTGCTTCCGCTCGCCGCTGCATCTGGTGCACTGGCCGGGATGACTGGCTGTGCTGACCTCTTTGGTCACTGGTCACGGCCCTCCCAGACAGAGCAAGGACCTCTCCAGGTCCTGAAGGGAAGACGTGCCCGCTAGATTTCTTGAGTTCCCTTGGAGGTCTGGAGGAGGATTCCTGGATCCCCGCTCAAGTGGCTCGCCTTGGACTCCGAAAGGAGGAGGACGCAATCTGTCGGTGTGTCTGGGGGCAGCCCAGTCAGTCAGTCAGTCAGTCCTGCTCAGTTTGAGCACAAGAGGAGCTTGATCACCTCTGTTAGTTAAGGCCACCCCCAGGGGGAGGGGGTTGGCATGTGCGGCCTCTGCGTGCCTCTGAGCGTGTGAGGGGAACGGCCCGCGTAAGCAGTAGGCTGTGCTGGCTGTGCGTCAAGCCTGGGCAGCACTGGCCGGGGTGGCTGGCTGGGCCTCGCCTGCGCTTCTGTGCCCATCGACAGATGCCGTAACACAAGCCTCACACCCTCCTTAGTTAGGTCCCTGCGAGTGGCGTGGCCAGGCAGCATCAGAATCGTCTCTCTAAGGGCACCTGCCCTTGTCTGTGGCACCGTTATCTAAAGGTACCCAACGTACACCGTAGGGAGATAGAATGGGAACCAATTACTTAAAACACACAGTCCCTGACTGCAGGAAAAAGGACTTTTACAGAGTTAAAAATGAAACCAAGCTGGGTGTGGTGGTGCACGCCTATAATCCCAGCACTCAGGAGGCTGAGGCAGGACGATTGTTGCTAGTTTGAGATCAGCCTGGGCTACAAAGTGAGCTCAAGGGCAGCCTGAACTGCACAGCGAGACCCTGTCCCTCCCCCCCCCCCAAAAAAAAAAAAAAAAAGGGAAAAAAGAAACCAAACTGCTCCCTGCATCTCAAAGAAAAAAAAAAAAAATGGAAAAAGAGGCCCCTTCCTCCTGGGAATTCTGCCTTGGCCCTCGTTGACTGATGCTATTGCTGCCAACACCTGCAGCTTCACGCCCCGCTCCTGACTCGTCCACTTCCAGCCGACTGAACTGGCTCCAGCTGGCCGTGGCCCGCATTTGGCCGCAGGGCCCGCCTCCCACCCTCTGCTCATGGCTGTGCCTGTCCTGGTCACATGGCTCCATAAGGGGTTAGAAGCGCTCCCACCTTGGCTCCACACCTGTGTCCTGCACGACAAGCAGGCCATCCTAGTTGTCAAAACAAACCCACAGGGCCGTCTGAGAGGCTCTCGCGTTCAGCCCAAGCCAGAAAAGCTTTATCCTGTTCTGCCTGATCCAACCTGCCTCCTCCTTACCCCAAGCTGCTCAGACAGCTGCGACACCTCCACAGCGGGTTCTGTCTCCTGCACCAGCGCCTCCCGCTCTCCCAGGTTGATCCACTTGGACTCATTTCATAGGGGGTAAGAACCCTTCCACAGGCTCCACACCTGTGTGCCCACTGCCAGCCACTCCTGTTAGTTCTGCAGAGTGCCACCGTACTTTAGACCCCTGCTGCTGTCAGATGTCACGGGGAGCATGAACAGGCGTCACCCACACGTCAGCCTGAGAGGCTGTTAATCACCTCGGCGGGATCTCAGTGCAGCCCGCAGTGCCGCCGTCACCTTGCGCTCTGCGGTTCCCACCCACGCGCTCCTTTTGGACTGTTGCTCAGTTCCCACAGGTTGTGGGAAGTTTCCCGTTACTGTCAGGGAGGCTCTGATAACAGATTTTACCACTCCGAGACAGCCTGTTTCTCTGTCCCTTCCAGCTCCACAGCTCCGTCACCGTCACTGTCCCCTGGGCCCTGAGGTTGGGCCCTCGACCACCTGCCTCTGTGAAACTCCATCCCAGGGCAACCCCACCTGCATCAAACTATCCCATGCCATGAGAGACTTGGCTAGAAATTCAACCAGAAAGATTTCTTTCTTTCTTTCTTTCTTTCTTTCTTTCTTTCTTTCTTTCTTTCTTTCTTTCTGTCTGTCTTTCTTTCTCTCTTTCTCTTTCTCTTTCTTTCTCTCTCTTTCTTTCTTTCTCTCTCTCTCTTTCTTTCTCTCTCTCTTTCTTTCTTTCTTTCTCTCTCCCTTTCTTCCTTTCTTCCTTTCTTCTTTTTTTATTTTTATCTTTTTGAGACAGGGTGTCGCTATGCAGTTCAGGCTGGCCTTGAGCTCACTTTTGGTTTTTTGTTTGTTTTTTGTTTTTTTTGGTACCAGGAATCAAACTCAGGACCTTTCGCTTGCCAGGCAGGCACTTATACCACTGAGGCTATATCCCTGTCCCCTTGAGCTCACTTTGTAGCCCAGGCTGGTCTCAAACTCTCAACTATTCTCCTGCCTCAGCCTCCTGAGTGCTGGGATTACAGGCTACCCTGGTACATGCTAACTACCCGTATGAGTTTCAGAAATCCAGCCTAGATCCACCTGAAAATTTACCTGGAGAGCTCTGAGGCTCACTGTGAAGAGACAACGCACTCAAAGCCCTGCTCTGGTCACTCTGCTGCCCAGTTCCCCCGCAATTGAAGCCTGAGGACCCTGTTCACAGGACTGCTCCATCCCTATTCCCCTTGACTTTTGTGTCTTTTCAGCCTTCTTACCCCAGTCCTTCCTTCCCTGCCCCACTGCTAGCTGTGATTTTGTTTTTGCCTTAAACTCTACAGATGGTTGCCCCGAGAATAGAACAATCAGTCAAACACTTGACCAAGATATGATGAGTATCCAAGACACAGTGGACACTGTCCTAGATCAGATTAATTCCCTCACCTCCTTGCCAGAGTGATGTTACAGAACAGACAGGCCTAAATTAGATCTACAGCTTCTAGTTGGGCCTTATCTCAGAAGATCATGTGTAATACGCCCAGCAGAGATTTGCTGGGGAAGCTAAAAGAGGGGAAAAAATGTAGCAGAAAATGTCCCCCGGCCAGCATACGTCAGTCCTTTAGCTGCCCAGGTAACAGTTCCTGTTCCAGTTTCGGTTGCTCCTGTCTCAGAAACGCCTGGTCACTCTGATGCACACAGTGTGTAAACCAATCCCCAACTGACACGCCACTCTGCCTCTGCACTTCCTGTTATCCCGTATAAGCTCTGGACCACCAGAGATCAGGGCCTGATATTCTGGGAGTGATCCCAGTCAGTGCGGTCAACGTAAACAAACCTGCCTCCAGGTCCTGGGTGTCGGTCGGGGCTTCTGCTTGCTGCTGCGTAGGGAGAGAGACCGCCACTCCTTACCATTTCTGTGAAGCGGTCCTGGCAGGCCATGCGGACCCGTTCCGGCGTGGCCGGGCTCCTCACTGTGCAGTCCTCGGCGAGGCCTCTGTCCCTGCGTGCCGCAGTCACCGCGTCACTGATGGCAAAGAACACCGATGACCCCAGGAACATCCCGGACTCCCCGAGGCCCTGCCGGGAAGCGCAGTCGTTATGGAAGAGTTGACTTGGACGGCCAGCTGCCAGAGGCCGGGTCCGGCTCACCAGTGTGTCCTCAGCCCCGGCACAGCCTTGCACATGTGTTTGTTGACTGACCACTGTAAAGCCTAAGTGCTGTTAAAATGTAAGCATCACCTGACCTCAGGTATGAAATCCCGCCTGGGTTTTGTCTCAAGCCTGTTGTACAGGAAGGGAGTGTGTGTGTGTGCGCGCTCGCGTGTGTGCGTGCATGAGTGTGTGAGAGTGTATGTGTGTGAGTGTGTGTGAGAGCGTATGTGTGTGTGTGAATGTGTGAGAATGTATGTGTGAGTGTGTGAGTGCATATGTGTGTGTGTGAGTGTGTGTGTGAGTGTGTGAGTGTGTGAGTGTGTGGTGAGGGAGTGTGCTCCAGGCAGTGAGCACTCTCAGTGGGGGAACTGTCCCGCCATGGGCCTTGTCTGCCTCCGGGCCAGGAGGCTGGGGCTTCTCTGAGGAGTCTGCCAGGGGTGAGTCCCGTGTGCCTGGGCGGTGCGGGAGGGAGGAAAGGCAAAGGCTCCAGCGTCACCTCCTGCTAACGGGGTGGCTGTTTTCCAGGTCCCGCCAGCTACTTCTGGGAGCAAAGTCAAAATTGCAGCCACCCGATTGCTCAAGAGACTTTAGGGATTTGTGCTTTGCTGTAAAATTTCGACAAAGAAAACACCTCTCAGCCGCCACGGGCGGTGGCGCAGCTTTGCCACACCTGAGTTGAGACCCCTGGGTGCGGCCTGGGCAGGTGAGGCAGGGCTGAGCCAGGGCGTGGGTAACAAGCGGAGTCAGGCTGCCTGGGGAGGGTCCTGGGGCCCGCGTCCCCCATAGGACCGCAAGCCCCTTGTTTCCTGGGTCCTCCTGTGTCCTCCTGAGTCCTCCCGGGTCGCTCACCCCCTGCCCCGTGACGTTTCTCTTGGGGTGGGGATGGAGCTCAGGCTCTGTGCACACTGGCAGGCCTGCTGGGGATCTCTCTCTTCTGTGGTGCTGGGATGGAGCCCCGGGCATGTCCAGGCAAGCGCTGGCCCCTGAGCCGCATGTGGACCTCGCACTCCCATCCATGCCCAGGCCACCTCAGCTAGCAAGGGGTCTCCCAGAAGATTTTCAGGAAAACTGTGTCTCATCAAGTTTTTTTTTTCTGGTACCGGGAATCGAACTCAGGACCTTATGCTTGCCAGGCAGGCGCTGTGCAGCTGAACTATATCCCCAGCCCTCATTAAGTTTTGACTCTAGCATCTTCACATAGTCTGCACACAGCAATGCAAACAACGGCGACCTTTGCTGTAATTGGCAGTTTCTCTCCTTGAGCCCTGAGTAGGGGAGCGCTCCTTGTTGGGGAAGGTTGGACTCGGCCAGGAGTAGTGAAGTCTCCTGCTCTAGGCAGACACTGCCACCCAGCTTGAGCCCTGCTGTTCTGTGCGCTCCTCGAGGGGAGCGATGGCGGACCTTTTAGAGCTTTCAGTGATAGAAAACAGCTCCCTGTGGCACACGGGCCAAAGGTTCACCACCACCGATCCCCCGCAACTGCCCCGCACTTCTGTGCCCACTTCTGTGCCCACTGCTGCCCCTGCTGGCCAAGTGCCTGTACTGCACATTTCCCACTCCAAACCTCCCATGAAGTCTGTTTTGTTGTTTTTGATTTTGTGTGTGTGTTTGAGACAGGGTCTCACTACACAGTTCAGGCTGGCCTTGAGCTCACTTTGTAGCCCATGCTGGCCTCAAACTCACAATGATCCTCCTGCCTCAGCCTCTGGGATGCTGGGATTACAGGTGTGCACCACCATGCCTGGCTTTTTTTTTTTTTTTTTTTCCTTTTTTGAGACAGGGTCTTGCTATGCCGTTCAGGCTGGCCTTGACTTCACTGTGTAGCCCAGGCTGGGCTTGAACTCACAGCAATCCTCCTGCCTCAGCCTCCCAAATACTTGTCAGAATACTGAGGTCTAAAGGTTCTTTGTTGCTCTCTCAAGAAGGCAAAGCTTTCTGAAGACTGAGTGCTTTCAGTGGAAGGAAGTCAGTGACGTCGGGCCTGATTTGTCTCTGAAGCTGTTCCTCCCGCGTCGGGAGAGCAGGCAGCGCTTCCTGGTGTTTTCTCTCGCTGTGCTCCCGCCCGCCCGTTGTGCCGTGTGCCATGTGCCGTGTGCCGTGTGCCGTGTGCTCTGTGCCGTGTGCTCTGTGCCGTGTGCCGTGTGCCGTGTGCCCTGCGCAGGCAGGTTTGGCGCTCACCTTGGAGGAGTAGAGGGTGAGCTGGGTCTGCGATGAGGGCAGCAGGGTCACGTTGAGCTCCTCGGGGACGTCGGCTGCAGTGGGGATCTTGTACTCGGCAGGGCCCCGGGACAGCAGCGCCCCCTCGGGGGAGTAGTGCAGCTCCTCGGAGGTGTAGAGGCCGGCGCCCTGGAGGAACGCGCCTTCCACCTGGGGGCGACCGGCTGTGAGCGCGGCCTGTCCCACCGCGCGGTCACACTCCGCCGGCAGCCCTGGAGCCTGCACCCACCTGTCCGACGTCCAGGGCCGGGTTCAGGCTGCAGCCCGCGTCCATGACGATGTCCGTCCTGAGTTTCTGCCAAAACACACGCCGGCTCCCCGTGAGCGCGGGACGCTGTGTCTGTGCCTCGCCGGGTCTGCGTCCCCCAGAGCGAGGGCTCCAGCCCGACCGGCAATCCTCGCCAAGCTTGCGCCGGGTGCAGCCAGCAGGAACCCGGGTCAGCGCGGCCAGGTTTGACTCCTGGGGACCCCAGGGCCGGGAGAGCGGGGAGCAGCATGAGAGGCGCGGCCACCTGAGCGGGTGCTCTGCTGTCATCGCGCGCGTGGGGCCCGGTGGCCGTGGGTGTGGGCGGTGTTGCCCACATTCCCGAGGAGTGTGTGGCCAGCTCGGCCGGCGTGAGTTGCGGTGTGCGAGGTCTCCGTAGCGCTAAGCTACCCCTGGCGTGGCCTTGTGCTGGGCGTGGGTGTGCAATTGTGTGTGTGAGGGTGTGGGGAGCTGCGTGTGTCTCAGGCGTCTCAGTGCCTGCCATCTGCCTGTCCCCAGGGCTCGGCCTCCTGACAGTCTCCACTCCAGCTTTCCCGTCAGGCTTTCAGGGCTGGACCGGCCTTGTCCACCCCCAGCAGGAGGCCGGCTGCAGACAGAGGCTTCAGCCCGCGCCCCCTGGAGCCACACAAGCCCCCACTGTTTTGGGCCGGTGGCTCCGGGAGGTGTTGGATGTGTGTGGGGTTGCGTTTGTGTCATGAACTACTTAACAACTTACACAGTTGGGTTCCGCCGGGGTCTATTTAAGATTCCGGGAGCCTGTCTGGCTGGGAGACCCTGGTGTACTCACGGCCTCCTCTGGCACGGTGCGAGCTGTTACTGTCGGTTAGCTGTGACTCCCTGTCCCCTGTGGGGCCCCTCGGTGCTCGGCCGAGCAGCAAACGCCGGGCTACGCTCTCGCCTCTGTCCTGCAACTGCTGCTTCAGGGTCAGCCCTGCCCGCCTCATGCCCGACTCCGGAGAAACCTTGGGCTACTGCCACCTGCTGGTACCTGCTCAGGACGCCTTGCTAAGCGGCCTGACCTCCCGATTAGGGAACCTGGCTTTCCTGTAGGCACAAAGTGTTCCTCTGGCTAAAGTTTTGAAAAGTGGCTTTGTTGTTTGGAATGGAGTAAAAAGGTTAATATGCTAAGCGAATTCTGCTGTCTGGGGCAGCTCCTCCTGGCCTCCTCGACGGGGACTCCCAGGCCGGGTCTCTGGGCCTAGAGTCGGGAGACCCCCACTCTTGGTGGAGTGATGGGCAGCCCTGGGGCTTTCTGCCGTGAGCAGCTTTACCTTCGCTGGCTTTGAGGAGAGGACGCCTGGGACTCACCCTGTGCGCGCCCGTCAGGCAGTCGATCTCCACCTCTGAGCAGGCGGCCCCGAAGACGTAGTAAGGGAAGGGCTCGCCCTCGCCCTTCTCCCAGTCCATGAAGGCCTTGTAGCCCCTGAGGGGAAGGGAAGCCCTTAGTGTGGGCAGAGTGTGACGATGTCTATTATTATTATTATTATCATTATTTGAGACAGGATCCTGGTATGTGGTCTAAACCAGTCTTGAACGTGCTATGCAGCCCGGCCTAGTCTCCCTGTCTCAGTCCTCCTGCCTCGGCCTCCCAAGCGCTGGGATTGCCTGTGTGCACCCATGCCTGGCTGCGGTGGACTTTTAAACTCATTTCAAGCTGCTACCTTGCGGTCACAGCCCAGCTGGTCTCGCTCGCGTCCGCTGAGAGCAGACGCTGTTTGTGCCGTGGGTCCAGCGTCACAGCGGGAGCTGGTGGCGCGGCTTCCTGACACTGAAGGTCTGAGGTGTGGGCTTTGCCCAGATACAGACCCGGAAAAGTCGGCTCCCTTGCTCAGGGGGTTCCCGAGGAGCCCCGGGCTGGGCCAGCCATGGGCCCAAGGCCGACCTAGCCCCGGCTGGGAGGAAAGGGCCGGGAACCCAGCGCGTTGGGGGGACTGGAGGATGTCCTCGTTCTGAGGGCTGGCCGTTCCCTGCCCAGGAGTCAGCGGGACACGCTCTGCTCCGTGCGGCTTGCTTCGCTGTCCCTGTGTCCCTGTGCGTGTGCAGCTTGGGGTTTGTTTCATCACAGTGTAAAAGTAGCGCCGGCCACTTCTGGGCTTTGACAACCAGCTCTTCTCTTTGCTCCCTTCCACTAGCACGCGTCTACTGAGACGCGGCCTCAGCTACACGGACGTGTGCGGTCACTACCCCGTTCCTCCCGCCCAGGAAGGAGCTTCAGAAGGCAAAGATCTGGCAGTAGAGGAAGAGAGAGAGCTGTAAATTACAGTTGTTGCCCAGTGTGGTGGTGCACACCTGCAATCCCAGCGCTCGGAAGGCTGAGACAGGATTGTTGAGAGTTTAAGACCAGCCTGGGCTACAGAGTGAGTTCAAGGCCAGCCCGAACCGCATAGCGAGACCTTGTCTCAAAAAGACAAAAAAAAAAAAAAAAAAAAAGTTAAAAAAAAATTACAATTGTCTTTCTTTCTGTCTTTTTTTTGAGAGGGGGTTATGCTATGTAGTGCAGGCTGGCCTTGAACTCATGGAGATCCTCCTGCCTCAGCCTCCTGAGTGTGGGATTATAGGCGTGTACCACCATGCTTGGCACATTATTTCTAATGATAACACTTTTTACTACTCACTATAAAGACTACTAAGTGATAATTAGATAAATCTCTATTTCTTACCCCAATCTCAGTACTTTTATTGCCTGATATTTCTTTAGACATAACTCAGAGGCCTATGTGAAGTCACACAAATCTGGGTCTAGAAGAGCCTTCAGCCAGCATATAGGAGCATCTTATTCACAAATGAGACCCTGCACTCCAAGCGCTTGAGTTGCCTCATATTTCCTCAGCTAAGTCAAGACTTTTTTTTTCAGTACTAAGAATCCAACCCAGGGATGCAGAGCTACATCCCTAGCTCTCCTCCCCACTTTATAATTTTTTACTTTGAGACAGGGTCCTGCTAAGTGGTCCAGGTGGGACTTGAATTTGTAATCCTCCTGCCTCAGCCTCCCAAAGTGCAGGGACTATAGGTGTGTGCCACCACACTGGGCTAAGATGTTATTTCAGTTTTTACCTGAAGTATCCAGTGGCTGAGAGACTGATTCTTTGTTCAAATGCTGCTTCTATCTGCAGAATGAACATAGAAAAAATGAAGTGAAGACACCATTTGATAAATGGAGCTGAACACATTCTACATCTCAATGTCAGCGTCTGACCACTACTGCTGGTGCTTAGCGCTGCTCAGCATGGCTATTTCTCCTCGGCAGAAGGCCGGTGAGGAAGTCTCCTTCTGATGGAGTTACAAGTCTGGGCTGGAGAACTGTAAACAGAGCCCTGCTGCACACCCACGGGTGTGAAGCTCACCAGGGCGAAGCTCACCAGCCGGGCATTTATTTATTCAGTCCTTCTGAAGCAGGGTCTCACTGTGCAGTCCAGGCTGGTCTTGAACTCACTGTGTAGCCCAGGCTGGCCTTGAGCTTGGATCCACTGTGTCAGCCTCCTGAGTGCTGAGATTACAGGCGTGTACCGCCATACCTGGCTGAAGCTTCATTTCTAAGTGTGAAAAATGTGCGTGTGTGTGTGGTGAGAGGAAGCTGTTCTAGTGAAGCAGACGTGGGATGCTGTGGAGTTGGATCGGTTTTTTTGGGGGGAGGGCTGGTTTCCAGTACCGGGAATTGAACTCGCGACCTTGCGCTTGCCAGGCAGGCGCTGTGCCGCTGAGCTAAATCCCCAGCCTCTGTGGAGTTGGATTGAATGAGATCTTTCCCCCAGACCTTCGCATTTGCCTCTTCCCTACCCAGGCATCCCTGCTGCAAGAGGCTTAGAAGAGTCAGTCTTTTCTACTGCAGCGCAGAGCGTGATGCCTCTGGGTCCTCGTGCATTTCCTTCTCCGTGCTGCCTGTGGGTGTCCGTGAGGGCTCTCTGTGCTTACTTGGAGTACACCCTGGAGTGCCCTCTGCTCCTGCGCAGGAGTCCCTCGGCAGGGAGAGCCCCTGCCCCCGGGGCACTCTGTCTCTGAGGAGTGGTGCTGCCCGCCATGATACTCTCCCAGCGGCGCTTGGGGTGTTCCCTTAACTGGGTGGGAAGTGGGGGGGATGCTCACCCAGTCTTCCCAGGTGCCTTCTGCATTTTTCTTAATGATGGGTTCAAGGCGTTTCAGCAGGGTCTGACAGGCGTTCTGAGGAGGTCAGGGAGAGAATGCACGTCAGAAGAGAACACGGAGGAGAATGTTGCAGGTCAGACGGTGAGACGGGAGCAAGCCCTGCCTCGGATAGCACAGGCCTTTCCTGGGGGCTCTGCGCCCCCAGCCACTGCCTGGGGAGTGGGTGGACTTCTCTCCGGTTCTCCTTCACAGAGGGTTTGCTTTCCTTTTTTTTTTTTTTTTTTTTGTCTTTTTGAAGCAGGGTCTCACTATGCAGTTCAGGCTGGCCTTGAACTGTCTCTGTAGTCCAGGCTGGTCTCAAGCTCTCAGCGATCCTCCTGCCTCAGCCTCCTGAGGTCTGGGAGTACAGGGTCCGCCACCACTCCTGGTTTAAAACCAGGGATAATAAGAACAAAGGACAGTCTGAGTGCCTGGCGGACCTCGCTGGAGGCGACACTGTGGCCGCCCTTGCAGCCCTGGGGGCCTGGTGTCCCTTCCCGTCTTTAGGGTCAGGCCTACAGGCCGGGCGCAAGGTCTGTGCAGGTGGACGAGTGGGGGACCAGGTCTGCTGCCGGGCTAGAGCGCCGGTGACCACGTCCGTCCTCACAGCCTCTCTGGCTCCTGGGGTGACAGCCTCAGGGTGACCCTGGGGACTGTGAGACGCCGCCAGCCTGGTGTTCACCACTGGGTCTGCCCGGCTGGTGCGGGTTGGAGCTGCACCCTGGTTTCTGTCTGCTCTCACAAATGCCCCTCCCCGCAGGGTGCCCGGCTCTCAGCCGCGGCCGCCTCCCGGCCTCCTGCAGATGTGCCCAGCTGGGAACCAGGAGGCGGGGGACCGACAGGGACCCGGCGGCGGGCGCAGTCACCTGCACGGCCTTGCCGTTGGCGTCGGCGCCGATGGACGCAGCGGTGGCCACTGTGTTGGGCACGGTCGCCGTGCTGGTCTCCTGCGTGTGCAGGCGGCTCATGGGCACACGCAGCTCCCGGCTGGCCACCTGCAGGGCGTCGGGGCGCGAGTCAGGGCGTGGCCTCGGACGGCCGGCTCACCGCTGCTGAGGGTCACCGCCGTAAAACCACGGTGCCACAGCCTTGGGGGCTGGGACGCTGCGCTTTACACACACCCATGCTGCCCTTCAGGGGGCCGACGGAGCCTCCTCCTGCGGCCCACGCGGCCCAAGTGGGGTGGCCAGGCGCTCTTAGGTGCTCAGGGTTACAGGTAACAGGGGGCAGGCCAGGTGAGGCTTCGGGTGCTCACGGGGCGGGGCCAGGCAGAGAGGCACAGAGAGACTGATTAGTTGGACGGATTGACTCAGAGTTTGCTCTGAAACCTGCTGTTTTTGGTCTCAGGAGAACTTGGAATGACCCTGCCCTTTTTTTTTTTTTTTTTTGGTCTTTTTGAGACAGGGTCTCCCTATGCAGTTCAGGCTGGCCTTGAGCTCACTTGGTAGCCCAGGCTGGCCTCAAACTCTCAGTGACCCTCCTGCCTCAGCCTCCTGAGTGCTGGGTTTGCAGGTGTGTGCCAGCGCCGGGCTGAGCCCTTCCTGAGCTCCTCTGTCTGCTTCTGCTTGCTCACGCTCCCCTTGTGTCTGGGCTCCCCCTTGAGCTTCCTATTCCTTCCCTCGACCTGCTCTCGCCTCCCTGCCCTTCCCTCCTCTTCCTCTTCCTCTCCCCACCCCCTGTCTCCTTCCTTTCTTTGTTTCTTTCTAAATTTTGAGACTCTGTCTTACCCAGTTGCCCATGCTCCCCTTGAGCTTTCAGTCCTCCTGCCTCAGCCTCCCTAGTAGCTGGAATCATAGGTCTGTACCACCATGCCCAGCTATTCTTTTTCTAGGGAACAGGTAGAAACTAAGATATTTAATCAGAAAGAGGTGAGAAGGACAGGAACGAAAGGGAGGAAGGCAGGAAGGAAGGAGCTGATCTGCTGCTGCCCTCTTGGTTTTGCGAAGCCCTCCCCGTGAGGTTGGGTGCGCATCCCAGCTCCTGCTCAACAGCACCGACCTTCCAGTTCCACCGAACATTAATTTTGCCCAGACAGAGGCAAATTTTTAAAAGGGGGACAGGGTCCTTGTTTCTTAGTGATGAAGGCCCAGAGGTGGTGGACTGGCTGACACGCTGGGCGGGGCGGAGGGGCCTGGGTCAGGTTCGGCTGTGTCCAGGTGCTGTGCAGCCTCAGCAGAGTCCTGACTCAGCCTGGCCGTGTTCTGCCGCTGTGGCCAGGCTTTGTCCATGCATGGCACAGGCTTGCCTCGACCTCGGCCGACAGCAGCGGCGGGAGCAGCTGCAGGGACAGCTGGCTCCTCTCCACGGGTGCTGGGGAGGGACCCTGCTGTCGGCGGGGCTGGGCCGAGGGGGAGCCGGGGTGTGGAGGGCGGAGGGCCAGGCTGGAGCGGTCCAGCCCGAGACCTCTGCGTGGGTGAAGGAGTCGAGGGTGAGGGCTGCCGAGTCCCTGCTCTGTTTATCTAAACGTCCTCCAGTGGACACGGTGGGGCGGAGCTGCCAGGTCCAGGGCACCAGCGGTCTAAGGTCCTCGCAGCGGACAACTCAGAGTCAGATGTGCCAGGCTCGGAACGAAGCAGACGGTGCCTCTGCACCTCTGGCTCAGACCAGTCCGGGCCGGGGCCCCTCGGTCCCTGAGCCCCGCCCAGTCAACTGCTGTGTTTTACAGGGAAGGGCCTCAGGGTCTGAATACAGAAAGTCAACATTTGCCGTAAAAGATGAGTCTCAGCACTCTGGGAGGCTGAGGCAGGAGGATCCCAAGCTAGAGTCCCTGTACCTGTAGCATCTTGGTATGGATGCCCTGTCCCAGCTCACTGCCGCCATGTGCGACCAGCACAGACCCGTCCGTGTAGACATGCACCAGCGCTGCTGCCTGCAAGACACCGGGGCGCCCTCAGAGGAGGGGCACTGTGGAGGCTCTGAGGAGGCTGAGGGACGGGCGAGGTGGGCACCCGTCTTCCTCACTCTCTGGGAGGCTGAGTCAGGAGGGTTGCAAGTGCAAGGCCAGCCTGGGCATTTAGCAATTTAGTGAGACCATCTCCAAAACACAGACAGACAGACTTGGGCGACAGCTCAGTGCCAGAGCCCTGGCCCGTCCTGAGAGGAGACGCCAGTCCTGTGGAGCCAGGTGGGGGGAAGGGTGAGGCCTTCTGGTGAGTCTCATTTTGCCTGCTTCGTGCAGCAGACGCTGGGAGCAGCCCCCGAGCACTTCAGGCCCCCAGAGTCCCTCCCAATGGGACTCTTCATTCAGGGAGGTGAGCCGTGGCTCTGGGCCCGGACTCTCCTGGGACAGGTCCTCCCGCCAGCGCAGTCGGGGTCGGGCTGCGGGGACCCACGCCTGGCCCTGTGCCCTGGGCGCCTTTGCTGAGAGCCTGGGCGGGCTGCCCCGCCTTCGGTGAGGCAGGGAGCGCAGCTTGCTTGAGGGTGTTTGGGGTGGAGGGGAGACCTGCTGAGTTAGGGCAGCGCAGGACAGAGGAGCGGACGAGGACGGCTGCACGCGTGGCCCCTGTCCCCAGCAGGGGAGCCACGCTCAGGCCGTGGAACCTGTTCCTGTGAGCTCTGAGAGGACTCGCGGGGCTGGACGCTTTGGGCTGTGTGTGTGCATATGTGCGTGCCTGTGTCTCTGTGTGTGTTTCTGTGTTTCCAGTGTGTGTGTCTGTGTGTCTCTTTCCAGTGTCTCTGTATGTGTGTGTCTGTTTGCTGTGTGTGTGTGTGTGTGTCTGTTTCCTGTGTGTGTGTCTGTCTGTTTCTGGTGTGTGTGTGTCTGTTTCCTGTGTGTGTGTGTGTCTGTTTCTGGTGTGTGTGTGTCTGTTTCCTGTGTGTGTGTCTATCTGTTTCCTGTTTGTGTGTCTGTTTCTGGTGTGTGTGTGTGTGCCTGTCTGTTTCCTGTGTGTGTGTATATTTTCTGTGTGTATGTATGTCTGTTTCTGGTGTGTGTGTGTATATGTGTGTGTGTCTGTTTCTGGTGTATGTGTATGTTTCCTGTGTGTGTGTCTGTCTGTTTCCTGTGTGTGTGTGTGTGTGTTTCCGGGTGTATGTCTGTCTGTTTTTGGTGTGTGTGTGTGTATCTGTTTCCTGTGTGTGTGTCTGTCTGTTTCTGGTGTATGTGTGTGTGTGTGTCTGTCTGTTTCCTGTGTGTGTGTCCATCTGTTTCCTGTGTGTATGTGTGTGTCTGTTTCCGGTGTGTGTCTCTGTCTGTTTCTGGTGTGTCTGTGTGCGTGTGTATGTGTCTGTTTCCTGTGTGTGTGTGTGTGTTTCTGGTATATGTGTGTGTGTCTGTTTCCTCTGTGTGTCTCTCTGTTTCTGGTGGGTGGTGGGTGGGGCGTGTCTGAGCTGCTTGTACCATGGGCAGACAGAGCCGCTCTCAGCACACCAAGCTCCCTGGGCCGGAGCCCCTGCAGCTGCTCTGACGTGGCATCCGGCCGTCTGCCCGGCTCGCGAGCACAACCTCCCGGGCGTCTGGGGGACTCCCCGGGCCCTGTGTGTTTCCTGTGTGTGTGTCTGTCTGTTTCTGGTGTATGTATGTGTGTGTGTGTGTGTCTGTTCCCTGTGTGTGTGTTGGGGACCTGTCTGAATGCTGCCCTGCTCCTCCTTTAGCATATGCACCTGGGAGCATTTCCGGTCCCCACTGCCGCCTCTTGGACCCAGGGAGGGCTGGAAGCCCAGTGGCCAGGCGGTGGCCTGGGGAAGCCCAATTTCCCGGCCCGAGCCCCAGAGCGAGGCTCAGCACGGAGGCCTCGGGGGTCCTGTCCCTGTGGGAGGGGGCGTCAACCTTTGCCCCCGCTTCCTGCCGTCCTGCTAGCGGGCCCTGCAGCAGCGGCGGGGGGAGGGGGCTCTGCTTGCCCCGGGGACCGGCCCGCAGCTGTGGCTGGAGGGACGCACCTGGTGGTAGCTGGTGGCCGCGAAGCCCACTGAGAACTTCATGGGGACCGCAGCGACGCCCCGCTTCCTCCAGGGGTTCTGCTGGTTGAAGGCGTCTGCCCGCGCCCGCCGGCCCGGCAGGTCAGCCCGCTCCAGGCACTCGGCCCAGCACTGGCGCAGGGGCTCGGGGCTGAACGCTTGCTTGTAGATGGTCTTGTCCACCGTCTTGTACATGTTCTTCTCCCTGACCTGGGCAGGGGCGCACATGCATGGTGACTACAAAGGGTGGGTAGAGACGGGGAGGGGTGGCGCATGCTTGTAATCCCAGCTACTCAGGAGGCTGAGGCAGGAGGATGGCAAGTTCACAGTCATCCTGGGCCACTTAGCAAGACCCTGTCTCAAAGTAAAAAATAAAAAGCCCGAAGATGTAGCTCAGGGGCAGAGTGCTTGTCCCTGAGCGCGCATGAGGCTTTGAGTTCATCTCTAGCACTGAGAATGGGAAAAGAAAAGAGAAAAATACGCAAGGAGACGCTGGCAATGGTTACTCCTGCCCAGCAGAGACGGAGTGGAGATAAAGGGGGATTTCTCCTGCTACTGCTACTGCCTCCGTGGGATTTGGATCTGTAAAAGAAGTAATTATTTGTGTACAAACCAAGAAAAAAAAAAATGATCGCATCGTGGGGCGATAGGTGAGGGAGACGAGTTCTTCGGGCAGCTGTCCATCTCCATGGGATTCTGAGCTGGGACTGATCTGTGTGGTTCTTCGAGGGTTTTGCTGGATCTCCACCTTGCCCGAGTCTCCACCAGTCTTGGTCTTGACCTTGGTTACAACCTTGCCTTTTCTTGCTTTCCGTTTTCCTCTCTCCCTTTCTTCTGTCTCAGTACTGGGAATTGAACTCAGGTCCTGAACACTGAGCTATGTCCCCTGCCCCCATGCCTGCCCCCACTTTTTTTTAAATTTTGAGACAGGGTCTGGCTAAGTCACTAAGTTGGACTTGAACTTGTGACTGCCTGCCTCAGCCTCCCAGAGTGCTGGGGTGACAGGCGTGTGCCCTGCGCCGGCTCCAGCCTTACCTTTTCTGGCGGAAGGCCGCACTTGGCTGCCACGGCTGTGATGCACGCCTCCGTCACCAGGGCTCCTTGGGGGAAGCCAAATCCACGAAATGCCGTATTGGACGGTAAATTGGTCCTGCACGCCCGGCCCCGGAACCTGAGGTTTCGGATTTTATATGCATTTTCCAGCTTTAGTATGAGAAATTCTGTCACCTGCAGTAGAGGAGACAACACGCGCTGCGACGGAAAGTTCTCTTCACTGCTGGGAGGCTTCCTCAGCCCCGCCTGCGTGGGCTGTGTCTCTGTTTATGTTTGTAGTGCCCGAGGGCGGCGCCTGGGGGGCTGGCGCGTGCATCTGAGGAGTCTTCCTTCCTTTACGACACCCCTCTCCCCTCCCCTGCTGGGGTCTCTCTCCCTGATCCGATTGTCTTTTATTTTGCTCTCTGTTTAGACCTTGTGTTCTCAGATAAGAGAGGCCCTGGGACACGTGTCACCCGCGGTCTCCGGCCACCTACCAGCTCAGAGTCGCCCAGCGTGCAGCCCCCGTTAATGTAGCACTCGATGTCCAGCGCTTTGATCCGCCCGCTGTCCTTGAAGCCCACCTGGCACGAAGGAGGGGCACCTCACTCTCCACTTCCGCATGCGACGCCCTGCGGGTCCCAGCCGCGCCCAGGAGGACAGGCCGGCGGCGCTGGCCACTCTGAGCCCGACTTTTGTGTGTCGTGGTATGGTGTGAGGTCGCGGGGGCTCTGAGCCCTGCGGGTCCCTGGCAGCGGTCTCACCCCGTCTCCTTATTCCTGGAGCTCTCCGTTCACTGACCCCATCTGTGCCTGCTCCCTGGGCAGAGGCCAGCACGGGGCTGGGCTGTGGTGGGCCTGACAGCACAGCCTGGCTGCTCCCGAGAAGGGGGCTGTGTGGTGGCCGTGAGGGTGGCCATGGGGGCGGCTGTGTGGGGGCCACGCGGGTGGGGGTGGAACTCTCAAGGCTCTGGAAGGAGCTTTGCACACCCGTCCACTGTGCTAACTTACTTAGTCCTGAGAGCCAGCAAAACTTTCTTAGCTTGTACGAGTGAGGACCCGCACCCTCCTTGGAGGCGGAACAGGGAAGTGGAATACACACGAATCACATCCCTCAGCTCACGAATGCTTGTTTGTGAATATCTGTTCGCAAACAGAGTGTTTAGCAAAATTTTGCTTCCGTTTGTCACTAATTGTCCAGTCTAGGCTCAAACTCGTGATCCTCCTGCCTCAGCCTTCCAGAGTGCTAGTGTAACAGGGGTGCACCTGTAATATGGGTATTTCTTTAAACATTATAAAACCTGGAATTTTGCAGAAGTCTTCTTCTTTCTTTTTAGTTTTATTTCATATTATGATAATGATAAAAATATTAACAATTTAGAACATTCTTTTTCTTTTTCTTTTTTTTTGAGACAGGGTCTGGCTATGTAGCTCAGGCTGTCTTAAGTATGTAGCCCAGGCTGGCCCTGAACTCTTGGTAATCCTCCTGCCTCAGCCATCTGAGTGCTGGGATACAGGCGTGCACCATCACACTGGATTTCATAACTTTATCTTAATACTCACTTTATATTTTCCGAATAACGGGTGCCTTCCCCCGGTTATTAGCATATCATCTTCACGATCAAGGACAAGACGCACGGCACGACCAGTTCTGAGGAAACAAATCTCGGTCAGTCTGCAGCCATGTCCCCGCTCACCACCTACGCTCCGTCCCCTTCTGCAGCTGTCTGCTCCTGGCCGTCACCCCTCCCCAGCCCCTGCCCAGCGGTCCATCTCCCCCCCTGACTGCCGACTGCCCCCCGCGTGGATTCCCTGCTGCCCGCGAGGTGCTGGGCACCGTGTGGGCTGAGCGCGCAGATTGCTGGCTGTGCTCTGACTGCGCTGCTGGAGCCCTCGCTAGAGGGCGATGTCTTCACCCCAAGCAGTACAGGGGGGTGGGGGTGGGAAGGAGTGGGAGTGGACCACAGCGCTGGACAACGGCAGGCACAGTGTTCACGTCCCCCCACTAGTCCTGACCCAGGGCTGGAATGGGGAGCC